AAAAAAAAATCTCAAAAAAAAAAAATAAAGCTACAATACATAGGAACAGACTTCAGCAGGAAAAAGGGAGGGGATATCAAGGAATTCATTTCGGTAAAACCTGGCTGCTGGAAGTCTTCTCTCAGAGGTAATTTTTTCTTAAAAATGTAAATACAGAAATAAGTTAACATCTCATAAATATCATCTGCTGCTATACCAGACATTTAAATCACTGTAAAGGCAATGAAGGAATGTTGAAAACAGTGGTGAAATAAAAGGTTTGTATCTGGCTCTCAAACAATTTAAAAACTAGTTTTCTAGAACCAAGTGTTGTCACACAAGATTTTCATACAAACTGGACTTTTATAATATTTTGCACATATTTCCAGAGCCAACATACACAATAAAACCATGCCTCTACTACTGAGGCTGGATATAACCACTGTCAATAGAAATTTATGATGTCTAAGTCAATATATTAAAAAGGGTAACCACAAACAAAAGGTGTGCAGAAAAATCCCCACATGTAAAAATTAATTGGGTAATGTAACATATTCAATTAAACTTTACCACCATCATCAAAAAGGTAAAGCAAAGGAAAAGGGGAGAGGATTAAGGAAGGCATCCCCTAAGCATGCCTTTTTGGGTTTTAAGAATAAAAATCTAACATATGTATATCTTTCTAAGTTCACCAGAAAATTACCACATAGTGCTAGATAGGATACATTTCAGAAGAGCATCCCCATATACTTTCCTGAAATTTAAATCTGTAAAAACAGCTTTGACTTTATTCAGGATACACACACAAATACTGTCTTTACATCCAACCTATGCTAAAAATGTGCTTTTGTTCTTTCTGAAGACACCTACTGTCCTAAAAGCAGGAATTATTCTGACTAGGTTTTTGCTTGCATTGTAATCATTACTATAACAAAATCTTTGCTGACTTTATCAATGCTGCTTATTAGAAATTTGACAATACACGAGTTAGCTGCATGTTTTTTTTTAGTTTAGCTTCTTTTATATTTTATTCAACATTAAAAGTGTTTTGACAAGTTTAAACTGTATGAGCTAGAAAACTCGTTCAACCACCACATACACAGACCCTCTCTGAATTTAGCTAGTAATGCAATGGAGGACAAAAAAAAAAATAATCCACCTCGCACAGCATAAGGACATTAGTAAATATGGAGCAAGAATCACTTACCTTCCAAGCTTATGAATTTCTAAAATGATACTAGACAATACAGCATATGGAGAGTGGCTTATGATCTTTAGCAAAGGGTGAATCATCTTCATGTAGATGCTCTGAATAACCCCTCTATGCATACTGACATCATCAGTGAAGACTTGGAGGCAGAGGATACTATGGTAACCATGCAATGTGCTGAGAGACAGAAGCCTTTAATTGCCTTAACAACTTCCTGGGGCTCTAGCTACCGGGCTTCGATTTGCTAAGTAGGAAATGAAGGTTGTCACAGAGGCAATGAGTGTGACACCAAACAGAGAGAACTCAATGAATCCTGAATCTATTAATTGTGACGCGACTTTTTAATGACAAGTGTCATAGCCTGAATCCATTACTGATATTCTTCTGACATCTGCAGGCTCTGCAGAAGTCATAGGTCAAGTAATAATACTGTCAGGTAGCAATTTTGTAAGTATTCCTCTGTTGTTTTCTCAATTGGCACATACTAGTATTATTATATTAAGGCAGAAGTCCTTTTAAAAAAAATGAAAACTATGTTTTAACAGGGTTTGATTTTAAGGGTTAGGGGAGCTGGTAACAGTAGATACTGAAGTCCTCATTTACTAATAAGTCTGATATCATACAAACAGGCAGGCAGTAAAGCTTCTCTATACAGCCACTTCATATTTATCCTGTAGTCACGTGTCTTAGCTTTGATGACTATCTGTCAATACATTACTTGTGAAGGACAAAGCTCAGGCTAAAGAATAGCCTGATATAATAAAAAGCCTGTGTGTAGAAGTTTCTATGGAATTCATGAGCATCATTTCACATCTTGCCACAAAGGATTTGTCCTGGTTTTCAGGGGCTTTTATCAGCTTGCTTTAAAAATAAATAAATAAACCGTATTGATTTGGCTAAGAACTAAAAAGGCAAGCTGCTTAAAACTAAATGTTTAAAAACATTTTCTGTAGATTTCTATAAATTGTAAACACATATTTTCCAAACCCCGTTTCATTAGCTTACAGCAGTTACAACACTGACCACAGAGCAATGTGGCAGGCATTCATCTTGGAGTTATTTAGTATCTTTTGGGCATGCATATGTGCCCCTTGCGAGCCATTTCCCAGGCTGCTGCTCTGCCTGAGTAGAACTGAGCAATTAAAACTCCCTTCAAATATGACATTCCCATTTTCATTATTACCATGAAAAAAAAGATCAACTTTTTTTTATCTGTATCCAGTTCAATCTGCAACTTGCCATCCCAGCTTGTGTATGTATATAGAACATGCATGTATATATGGATGTGTATGTATTAGGTCTTTAAACTGTGAGAAGTCTTGTCTTTAGGCAATTTGTGATGCAATGTTAGTTTCTCCTCTCTTTAAACACGAATCCTCCATCTTTTATTCGCTATGGGTCATCCCGTGAGAACACTGAGAGCTTCTAAAAATGTATATCTAGTCCCTTTCTTATCAGATTGGCTCCATCCCCCCTGCAGGGATACTGTAGGTTGGGGAAGGTCATATATACATCCTATAGTTCAGCAATTATTTGAATAATTTTACTAAAAATTGTTTGGGACAAAATTTCTTGTGCCAAATGTCTACCTCATGCTCTCCCCACCTTTTCTTTTTTGGAAGAGGGTGGGCGAGGAGAAGGAATTTCAACCAAAATGTTTAAGCCATTTCTGAAAGGAAAGGAAAGGAAAGGTCTTGTTCATAATCAAAGTGTCATCATTTTGTTTGGGCTTTTTTTGTTAACTTCAGTGTCCTCAAACTTTGGGACAGAAGTTAAGCATTTTTCAGTGTGGCCCATCCTTCAAGTATGTAGCCTTTTGCCACTCCTGTGATAATCCATCTGAATTTGACAGTTTAAAAGCCTGTGTGCATGCATATGAAGAAAGGCTGGCAGAGCTAGGAATATTTAAAATTGGAGGAAAGAAGATAGAAGAGTGACACAGCAGTGTAAGTATGTGAAAGTTTGTCATAGGGAGAATAGCAAACATTTTTCCCTGCTGAGCGAAGGATAAAAAGCAGTGGCTCTAAACTACAGGGAAGCAGATTCAGGTTAAACCTCAGGAAACTTCCTACAATATCAGGGCAGTCAGATATTGAACAAACTGCCTAAGGAAATTGTAGAAGTAACATCATTTAAGTTTAAGAGCCACCTATCTAGGCTTCTGACAGGAATGGCATGGTGGAAAAAAAAAAAAAATCAGCATCTGTGCAGCAGGTTACACAAGATGATCTTTGAGGCCCCTTCTAGCCTTATGTAGTGGCACAGGGAGGTGGTATGAAATAAGAATGAAAGGTACCTAAAAACTGTGGCATTCCTTAACTTGACTTTTCATCTTTATAATGTTCTTTTTATGTTGCTTGTACATGCAACACTACAATGTTGCCTTCAGTTCACCTTTTTTTGAAATCTTTTTTTAAAATCCACCTCGTTTTAAAACGATTCTCCATGCCTTAATAGTTCTTACAAGCTCTACATTTCAGCAATATGTGCAAACAATTGTTGTCATCTTCTAACATATATGACATTAGCCTTAATTTTCTGCTGGCTCACCCACCATTTATTTTAAGACATTCCAAATTGTTTTCTTCCACCAACTTTACAGATCTACGCCTCCATTTTCTTGCCTAGCCTTGACCTCCTTACCATTCTAATATAATAAAGCTTTAGTCTATCTGTCTGTCTGTTCATAACGTTCTGGGTCAACTGTACATGCGCCGCCAAGAGGGCACACGCCGACTGGATGAGAGAGCGTTACAGACAGACAGGGTGATGGAGCCGCTGCACTGCCCCCCCCAACAACAGCTGGCAGGAGGGGCAGGTGCTGGCGAATAGGGAAGGAAGGGAGGGAGGGAGGGAGGAGAGAGGCAAGGGGAAGGGGGAGTTCCCATTCTGCTGCTGCCACCACCCAGCCCTGACAACAGCCGGCAGAGAAGGGGAGGCAGCGGGGAGGAAGGGAGGAGAGGCGGAGGGGAGGCAGTGTCTGTGGTTGTGCAAGCTCCCCTCACCACCATTCCTGGGAGCTGTCGGTGGTGCAGGGTGGAGCGGCAGGGATGGGGCGCACGGGGTCACACCGGGAGTGGCGGGAGAGGCCCCATGGCACCAGACAAGGAAAGTGGGGGTGGACACAGGGGTGGAGGGGTGCATTGGGCTGGAGGCAGAGGGTAGCAGGGAGCACGGGGCTGGAGGCAGAGCGGCAGCACTGCGGGGCACTCCACCCCATTGCCCCCCCACCCCGCATCATTCATGATGGGCAATTTGCCCCAGTCTGTGCAAAATAATTTTTCTGTAGGTTTTTTGGTTTAAAACACCTTGATTCTATCTAGGCTGAAATTAAAATGTAAATTTGCCTCTACTTAATTTGTCTATATTATTTTAAACTTTAAAGCTACAGCTTGAACTATAGCTGACATAAAAAAGACATTACATATAATATAGCTGTTGCATAGTCAAAGATTTCAAGGAGGTTAAAACCATCATGCAGCTGCACTGAAGAGAAAGCCTATAATGACAAGCCAGAGAGGGCATGTTTCATTAAAAGGTGAAAGAGGGGTCAAGGGGGGGGGGGGAATAGTCCCAACATTCCCAAGAGTTATTACAGAGAGGAGGGAAATATCTCACTACTGTCCCACCACTAAAAATAAGAAGCTTAATAAATGAACGTACATTTTATAAAATCAAGACAACAATTTTATTTTAACTCTGTTCCAAGCTGCATAGAGTGCATACCTATACATCATTAGATTTATATATCTTGTTTATTTAAGGTAACTATACAACATGACTTTGGGGTTCTTTAATTTCAGTCTTATTTGGATGAAAAATGCTTT